TTTATTCAGGAATTACTTGGACTTAGCGGAACAGACCCTTACACTTATTAAAATGTACTTAATTACTGTTTAGTTCCTATAAGTTACATACTTCCTAGTTACATGCAGAGGTATGAAGACATATCTGAGATCAGATTAAACATAGACACAGAGAATCTATATAACTCTACACATCTATTTAGGAAGGCAATAAAACTATTATCAAATGCATACATACATTTTCTAAATTGCTTAGAGCAAAGCTTGGCTTTTTGGTTTGCCTCTGGACATTAAGTGTCCAAAAAAAATGACTTCTTAATTGTATCTTTACAAAATAGGAGCAAAACATTGTTTTGAAAATATCTATTAGTAGTATAAAATGCACAAGATAAATATACATCAAGATATAAAAAGTTTATTATAGTTGTACTATTTAAAATGCATTCAAAATATAAATTGTAAAATATAGTATGAATTAGTCTTTCTTCTCGTTAGAAATTTTGTTATTAATGTTTTCTATTCTATGGAGCAATGTTGGATGAGAGTGGTACCATGCAGAATACAGTTTGTCGTAGATGGGATAATCTAAGTTGTCCTTACCTAACTTTATTAGAGCAGACCTAAGTTCATTTGCATATTTAAGGTTAATAGCAAAGTTATCAGCCTCAAACTCAAATTTCCTAGAGAGCGCTGTTGCAAAATATGACAATAATGAATTATAGGGAGCTAGAATCAACTGTAAGATAACTAACAAACCTATTATAATTGGTTCTTGTTCAGTTGGAAACCCGATTGCAGTATACAATGTAGAGTATTTGAAAAGAATACCAAACGCAGTGAATAACAATAGTAAGTTGACTTCAGTTAGGGCAATAGACTTATAAATATGGCTGCAACTCCAATGTCCAAGTTCATGAGCCAAAATTCCTAATATTTCATCATCAGTGCAGCCAGTGGTAACATTCTTTGTTTTATCATGGCTTTCTAATAGTGTGTCGAACAAAACAATTCTCTTAGCACCTAAAAGTCCACTGAAATATGCATTGCTGTGTGCTGATCTCTTTGAGCCTTTGACAATGTAAATTTGAGATAAGGGGAAATTCAGCTTAGAAGCCAAGTCTTCAATTCCTTTTCTGAGTGCATTATCTGGTAGAGGTACAAACTTGTCAAACAGTGGAGCAATAACTGTTGGATAAAGTGCAAGAAGTAACAGAGTTGTCAGGGTTGTGAACATCCACAGCCAAACAACAAACATATTTCCTCCCAACATAATAATGTACAATGCAATTGATATTATAGGCAGAGTGATGACAAGGCCCAGTAATAGTGATTTCAACTGATCCTTTATAAAGAATAAAGCTGTTTGTTTATTAAATCCATGATTTTCTTCCAGTACAAATGTTGCATAAATTTTAATAGGCATATTCATAACAAAATTAAATAAAGTTACAAATGTCATAAATATACAAGTGACAATGATTTCTTGATCAGGTGTTATATTTAAAGATTCTGCTATCATCTCCGATTTGTACCAAGCAACATAAATCCAACGTTTGTACAGAATCACTGATATTAAAATTATATTGTACAGTTCTTTGGCTATTTTGAACTTTGATTTATCAATGCCATAAAGACGGGCTTTCTTTATAGATTCCTCATTTAACATCTCCTTCAACTCATCAGGTATGGTTTTATTTGTATGGTATATTTTCAGCTGAAAAGAAAAAATAAGTTAATAAATGGTAATGAATACTGAATGTAAGAAAAATTATGAATTAATTCGTTTTAGATTATCCTTTAGGAAATTTCTCTAAATGAATAAGTAGATAGTTTTGGTTTTTACTTAAAATTTGAGTTATACTTTGTTAAACACTTATGCAATAACAAAACTATGCAGGTCACACGAATATTATTCTAATCACCGTGATATCATAATAATTAACTTGGTCCGTTATCCATATACCACGTAATGATATAAACAATTTTATATACATGTACAGTTTAATACTTTAAATACCATAGGGTACGTCATTCAGTTTCAGCAAGTGGTCAATAACATTTTATATTAAAATAAACATTACCTGTCGCAATGTGAGGTACAGTTCCCATAAGTATTCTGCCCAGGAAAATATTAAAATTAACCAAACTATTAAATCTTCACCCGAAACCATGTTGTAAGTTAAAAGAACCGTAACTTGATAAATAGGTTATAAGTACGACGTAGATACTAAGCATCAAAAGACCTTAATACTAAATCAGCAAATATTCAAAACTATTAGCAAAGACAATTACAAGAATCCAATTCCAATGCTCCAACTCCACTCCATTCGGATTCCGATCGATTGTAATAAAATCAATTTAATCCAAAGAGTAGAGTACATTGTTTATGCCGAGATTTTATCTCTTAAACTGAATACAGATAAAATATCACAATGAAAAAGTCTTTTCCTTTATTTGTTATCTATACATCTATCTATATATGTTAAAAAATGGTGTGTTTGTATGTAATAATGTAATTTATATTTCTTACACATGATGTATTATGGGCTTAGACGGGTAGGTAGCTAATAGCTTTAATTTTGCGCTCACGAAGCGAAAGGCGACCGTTAGTATTTAATATTATTATGTAATGTTTGAAATATGAAATATATATTAATATAATATGAAAGTAATTCAAAATAAGTCGGCATAGTAATTTATTTAAAACAGCTTCTTCCCTTTTAGTAGAAGTTTTAGATTCTTCAAGAAAGCTTGAGTGAAGATGTTATTTACTTCCGGTTTAAAAAAGTATAGACGAGAATCAATAAATTAGTGGTTTCTGAAATACAAAACTCTTTGCAGGAAATACGAAAAAAATAGTAAATGTACTTTGTTGTAATCTATTAAAGCCTTGTTAAATACCAAAGAGCTGAGTACAAGACTTTGTACTTTAGCCTTTGATCGCCTGCTGTTACTGATGTAAAAGGGGTAGATTCTATTTAATTTTTTGCACAAATATGCGGCATCACTTTGGTATAAAACTAACTCAACCCTTTCTTTAAGCACAGTCTCCCTTAACCCATTGAAGAATTAACAACAATTAATTTCTTTAGCTTTCTTATAAAATGTCTTTTTTAAGCTCCATAAATTTTTTGATTTTTGTAATCCACTGCTTACTATATATTACTGCAAGCATAAGGGCTGACGAAAATTGTGAAACATTCCCAACTGAAATACACGTAACTAAAGGCAAGTTGAGCAGTACAAAAACGGCGATTTTTGCAAAGTCGTACACCAAGCTTTAAATATGCCAGCAACCAAGTGTTTCTGTGAAAAAAAAAGAAATGGAAATAATTTTTTTATTAATTTTCAGAGGAATACGATGAAATAGGCTCACTAATCAGATCATGTAGTGGTGAAGTCACTGTAAACAAATGTGAAGGTGTTTGCAGGAGTCAGATTCAACCATCTGTCGTAACTGCTACAGGTTTTCTAAAGGTATCTTTGATTATTTGCTTATTTAACACTATTTAGTTACGTGCCTCTAATACCAATAATTTATACATTTTAGGAATGTTTTTGCTGTAGAGAGAATTATCTTCGGGAGCGAATCGTTACTCTAACCCACTGTTATGACCCTGACGGCCTTAGATTGGAAGATGAAGATCGCGCCACAATGGAAGTCCGTTTACGGGAGCCAGATGAATGCAAGTGTCACAAGTGCGGAGACTACAGCCGATAAGAATTAAAAATAGAGAGAAAAAATTCTTATCTTAACCCTGGGAAATGATCTTTGAATAGTTATAAAAGATATGATGTTTACATAAGATAGATTAAGTACTCATTTATTTGTAACCTTGAAATTGGTCTAGGTCTAAAGAAATATTGATGGATACAATCTTCAATACTTATTTATGTAAAATTTATACCATTTAATTATGAAAAAATAAAAATAATTATAACAATCAATACAAAAAAATTATCAATAAAAAATTATTTGATTTAATAATCTGTTTTCTTTACCTTAAATGTTATATGTACTCAAACTTAGGAATGATGCTATAAAGAGTAGTTTGAGTTTTACTATTCTAGATTCTTGCTATTGTAAATTCTGATTTCTTGTTATGTTTAACGAAGTATTTGACTAGGATATTTTGCTACGTTGAACTAAAGATATTAAAATCTAACAGAATCTCTTAGGTCTATTTATTATAAAATAAACCAAAATATACAGTTCAATCTATAATACTTAAAAAATGTTTTTAATAATAAACAGAAACAAGCTATCTAAATCCGCAAAATTTTACGTGTATTCCGTAACATCGTGTGTAATTTGCAATGTAATTCAATCCTGGTCATCATCATCAACCTGCCCTTGTCGTCATATAGTAGCCAGTGTATTGACTCAACAATATTCATTCCCCTCAATATTAATTCTACATATACACTAGACTTTGTAACAAAAGCACGTCATTCGCGCTAAAGGATTGTTATTCAAAATATATTATCCTATCAATGCCTGTCTCTACGGAGGGTCAACACGGCACGGTCTATTCCTCCATACAATTTGTAAAATTTTAAGCAGGGAATAGCTGCTGATAAAGGCTTGGCCGACCGATGAGGAGGTATAGGCGCCTTAGTACTTTTTATATCAATAAAAAAAATATGGATAGTTTAGCGATACCCATGGCTGCTTCCGTATAGGCTCCAGTAATGTTTGTCTTATGGCCGCACTCAGAGTAGCTCAACGGTAACTTAAGTAATCCATTACTATACATTTCACCTACTAATTGATCTGAGACATCTTCAGTGACTATTTAAATACTGAATAAGCAGCATTTATTCACTAACTCTAGCACTAAATCTAGCAGCTATTTAATTTAGCCGCATGGATGCAGCGTGTGCGGTTTGCGTCTTCACTGCGCATTGCGCGACACTCTTAAGCTGTATACTAAGTATGTCTATTAATTTTGGCATACACTCCTACAGAATTAAAAGTAATTGAAACAGCTAATTATATTTTATTTTTTAATACGAAAATAAGCAGTGGTAGCAACGAGGCGATCATCGACGCGGCGCTAGAAGAACTGCCGAAGCGGTGTCGGCCTTTAAGAAAAAGATACGCTCACTTCTTGAAGCTAGTCAAGTTATCTTAAACGGCTTCTATTTATTTAAGTTTTAAAAAGAAATTTAACGGAATTAAATGCTAACCGACAACGACTGAGGAATAAATTAATTCGTTCTTCCTCTAGTTTGTTGTTTTCTGCAGTAGACCTTTAAAAAGCTAGGGACCCAAGCAACTTGTTGGTAGGACACCGCAGAGAAAATAGCATAATATAAAAAAATTGCCAATATGATTAACAATAAAGTCTTCTAATCTCTCTTCCACAAATATATATCACAAAAAAAATTAAAACAGGTTTCCTAAGGGCGGGGTGGAATTTCTACTGTTGGAACTTTGTTTTGCAAAGATTATAATATAAGAGATGACAATATGTTTTTCTACTGTTGTTTCGACAGTGGAAACCTACATTACTACAAATCCTTATAAATAAACGTAAGCCTCGTTGACTTTTATTTGATTAAAAAAACAGAGACTTAGATGCAATAATGTATACTGTTTATTTTGCATTATTCGTTATATATTACACAAGAATTTAAAGGTTTTATGTATGCTTATGGGGCAATTTTATAAGTCGGTCAATAGATGACTATTAAAGCTGTGGGTGATCTTGTAGCCGGGAAAGATACAAGGGAAAGAGAATGATTTATAATGTTAGGGAGTAGTAACATCTGTCTGAACTCACTATGTGGTCGGTAAGTTGCGGGCTTTATAAGCCACGACTGGCTACAGATTTTTCACTCGAGTCACATCCCCTGAAGTATTCAGTTGATCATAAGAAAAATTGAAATAAACTGTAAATAATGATTGCTTCTACTTGTCTTCGTTTAAGTGTAGTAATTCTTTTAAGCGTTGTTATAAAGGAGAAAACAGTGAAAACACAAGAAGTTCATTTACCACCAGGTAATTTTATTTTTGAACTGAAAATTACTCTAAAGGTATTATTTTAAAATTAAAGGTCATAAATAGACTAGTCATAATAATGGTTAGCTTCACGATAATCTAGGAGACGTATTTTAAATTTGGTCTAAAGGTTTGGTTCTGATTTTCTAGTTGTCAGACGACTAGCTCGTCCCATAATCAGATTCTGTCGTATGACTTCTAACAATATTTTACAGGGCACGAATGTAAGATGACTCCTGTTATTCATGTTCTGCAACACGCTGGTTGTGTTCCTAAACCTATACCATCTTATGCGTGCATTGGTAAATGTACGAGTTACGTGCAGGTAATTTTAATACAATTATTCGATACTTTATTCCATAATATTTATGGTACTATATACATTTAAAAATTTTAGGTTTCTGGCAGCAAGATTTGGCAAATGGAACGATCGTGTAATTGTTGTCAAGAATCAGGAGAAAGAGAAGCAACAGTAGTACTATTCTGCCCCAAGGCCAAGAGCGAAGAAAAAAGGTTTAGAAAGGTAAGAAATTAAGGATAACAATATGAATACAATGGTGGGTTAACATGAGCAAAGAAATGAGAAACATAGTGTTCGGCATTTGTTGAACAAAGTCAAGGTTAAAACTCGTAATTCAGTTGATATTGTTTAAATGTTAAAAAATACGTTTCAATTTACAGGTGACTACGAAAGCTCCGTTGGAATGTATGTGTCGTCCATGTGGTACAATTGATGAAAGTTCTATTATACCACAAGAAATTGCTGGTTACTCTGATGAGAGCCTGCAAAACCATTTTAGAAAATCGTATTAAATGTTAAAAAAATATAGATAACATACATTCTATTCTTTTAAATAATTATTAAAGATTGTGCATTTCATATAAATAAAGACCTTTGACCAATTAAACATGGTTTAATTTATTCTAAACTATCCTTGACCGTAGTTTCACTTGCCCACAAGTTTTTTGCAGTAACTCATTTAATGTTTATTCCAACTTAGGTCTAAACATTGCATCACCTATTTTTTTTGGGTTTTTATATATTTATAAAAAGCTAGATATATAACTATAACTAAATGCCAAGAATCAAAGCTATAATAATCACCGCTTTCATATTAACCAGGAAGGTACATGATGACGAAGAGAAAGTAATATAATATCTATGTTTCGTTTACTCTTTGCTCGACAATTGACATTAAATTTGATATGACCTAAAGGTCTATGTTACCAGCTCATAAAATTAAAAAAAAATTAGATTTGACTTTGACTTTGATTTGCTTGACATGAAAACTTTGAAAAACTCTCCGCCGGTGGCATTTGTTTTGATTTGATGTTATATTTATTTTATTTATCCACATTCATATATATCTTATATTTTGCCTATTAATCATACAAAATGAGCCGTCGTAAGCGAACTAAGGTAAAACAATTATTGTACATATAGTGGTTTAAAAGGAACAAATAAAAATTGCTTATTTTTCATGAACGATTTTGATTATCAAATTTAGGTGGAAAACCGTGAAGTGGATGAAAAACTTAAACAGGAAGATTCAGAATCAGATCAGTCTGAAAAAAATAAAATGACAGCAGCGAGTCCCACATTATTTGGAACGAGGCGGGAATCACTGTCCAGTAAGACATTAGATATTAAAGAACCGAAGAAAGAAGAGAAATCCGTAGTTTTTGAAGACTGTAAAAGTGATGATATTGAAGAAATAAATTACAAGGAAATGCTAAATAGGTAAGGAATACATATTAAACTTCTTTTGGCAGAGATTTGTAGAAGTGTCCATACTGTTGGACAAATTCCCGTATGAAAATTAGTTGAATGAAAAGCAAAGTCAAAGTCAATTTTTTACTTTACTTTTACCAATGGAAAGTGATCACTGCCAAATTACATATAAATAAGTTTGTAGGTATATGACAAAAATTGCACTTTACATAATATCTTGTTAAAAAAGTTTATAATGAAATACTGGTGAAATTATATGCTTTAATATACCTGTATATTATGTTACAGCTTGGAAGGTGCAGCATTCCAATCCAGATTGCCTTTTGACAAGATGTCATCTTTAGAAGCAGAATGTTTCTCCGACCTCCAAGGAGCTTCCAGCCATACATTTGTCCAGATAAGAAACAGAATTTTAAAATTATGGTTTGAAGATCCTAAGAAACAGCTAACTCAAGAAGGTTGTGTACAGAAAATGGAAGTAAGTAGCATTGGCTTGTAATTCTATTACTGATAAATATATAATATTATTTTAGTTATTTAAATAACATACTACATACCTGTTTTAATTTTGCAGCCTCCATATAATGCCGATCCACCTTTAATAATGCGAGCACATGCATTTTTGGAAAGACATGGCTTCATTAATTATGGTATTTATGAAAGAATAACACCAATTCCTTCACCTCCAAAAGGAAAACAGAGGCCAAAAGTCATTATAATTGGTGCAGGTAGGATAATTTTATTTCTACCCTATACAAATTATAGTTTATTTCAAAATCCCATTTTATAACAGAGAAGTTATGTATAGATTTTTGCTGTATCTTTTTCAGGTGTATCAGGCTTAGCAGCTGCACGTCAGTTGCAATCATTTGGTTGTGAAGTTGTAATATTGGAAGGCAGAGATCGAGTTGGTGGCCGTATTGTTACATATAGAAAAGGACCATATGTTGCTGATTTAGGTATTTGATGTTCAAATTATAATTATCATATTAATATAATATTTGGGAATGTTTGGATGGATGGATGGATGTTTGTTTGAAGGTATCTCTAGAATGGCTGAATGGATCCCTCTGGAATTTGGAATAGGTGTAGAACATAGTCTGGAAGATACACATAGGCTACAAATGTTTATTTTTTTAATTCTCCGCAGTCGGAGTTATGGGCGACAGCTAGTGTGTAATAATTATGTCTTTGCTGATTAACAGTTTTTTTATTTTAATTTGAATCATTTTTTTTCCTATTGGAACTATTTGGTGATACATACACCAAGTATTATAGAATTTTTTTTAAGTTTAAATATGTTTTGTAAATATTACAGGAGCCATGGTGGTAACAGGCTTAGGTGGTAATCCAGTAACAACATTATCTGTGCAAATGAATATGGAATTACATAAAATTAAACAAAAATGCCCATTGTATGAATCAAATGGTATACAAGTACCGAAGCATAAAGACGAAATGGTATTTAAGTATTTATTTTTATTAAGTATTATGGATGTTATTTGTCTATTGAAGAGTAAGTTTTGATATAGTCATTGCAATTTTATTCTTTAACATTAGAAGAGCTTTTTAATAACATTGAGTTTATGCACTTTTATTTCAATATTTAATTTAAATATATTCCTACAAGTATGGTTGGCGACAAATTAAGCGAAAGCTGCCAAGCCATGGTATTGGGTTTTTCAAAACCATGTGCGTCAACCCTACTTGATAAGGCGAAGGGCGATAATTAGCGGTGTTTTAAATTACTTAGTGTAAGATTTTAGTATTCTATTTTTATATTTAATGGCACTTTTTATATTATGATATTTAGGTGGAGCGTGAATTCAACCGTCTTCTAGATGCGACATCGTATCTGTCTCATCAAGTTGATTTTAATTACTACAACGACACTCCTGTCTCTCTCGGACAGGCTCTCGAGTGGGTCATAAAGCTGCAACAGAAGAATGTTAAACATAAACAGGTCTGTTCCAATATTATTGAACATTTCCATCGTCAAAACATGCATAGGAAAACACATCAATAAAAAAATAAAAACAAAAAAAATATATAGGTATTTTAGTGTTCTTGTTTTATTTTGCTGATATATAGAAAATTATTGTTTATTCATTATATTTTTAATCTTCTATATTGATACTACCAAGGAGCTAAGTTGTTATATTTGTAATATTATAAAGTGGAAACATAGGCTTTTAAACTACTGAAGCGATTTGAAAAATTCTTTTACTGTTGGGAAGTTACACTGTCCCCGGCTTAAGCTGTTTTTAGGAGGTTGCGGGCTACTACTTGTTGCTAAAATATAATAAGATATTTTTTGTTAAATTGTGTATACAATGATTATAACATTGATTGCAGATTCAACATTTAAAAGCTGTAATAACCCTCCAAGAAAAATTAAAAGGGAATATAAATAAGTAAGTATATTCTTGAGATTTGCTTTCATGCGAAAGATGTGTTGAAATTAAACATTATTGTTGTAACTTTAACTTTTTTGTACTATTTTGTATAAAAGTCTATTATTTTATTAAATCCAAGTAATTTTCTTTTAGAATGACAGATATCAAAGAGTTATTGAAATCAATGAAAACGGAGAAAGAGAATTTGTTATCTGAGAGAGACAAAGTGGGTGCGGGCGAGACGGGTATTCTACACGAGTTCAATTTGCGACGACTCAATAGAGAAATGAACCAGCTCTGCAATGAATATGACACTCTCATCACAACAAACAACACTATTGAAGATAAATTGACACAGTTAGAAACTAATCCGCCAAGGTATGTTTGATATAGACACTTACTAATATCTTACTAATATTATAAATGCTAATGTTTAGATGGATGTGAATGGATGTTTGCTTGAAGTTATCTTTGGAACGGTTTAACGTATCTTGATAAAATTTTGCACAGATGTAGAACATAGTTTTGAAAAACACATAGTCTACTTACTAATTTTTTTTTTAATTCCGAACGACAGCTTGTGTTAACATAATTTGAGTGTGTGTATGTAATATGATGCATTTGCGTAGCTTATAACGAAAATTAAATTAAAAAAAAAAGAAATTGTATATCTATCTGTTTGTATGTCTGTCGGTCCGCAAATCCACGTTTGTTTTGCGTAATCTCCGGAGTGGATGATCCGATTATGACGAAATTTTGATGGGAAGGTAACGGATTAACGCGGCCATGTTATAGGCTACTTTTTACTTATTTTTTTTTATTTCCTCGCTAACAAAGTCGGAGGTTACCGATGTTATATAAATTGTGTATTGTTTATTATCAAAATTTGTTGACAGTTCAGTGTATCTGTCAGTGCGTGACAGACAGATCCTGGATTGGCACTTCGCTAACCTGGAGTTTGCGAACGCGACGCCGCTCGGCAACCTTTCTCTCAAACACTGGGATCAGGACGACGACTTCGAGTTTACTGGCAACCATCTAACAGGTAAGAGCTATTTAATCAACTTTCAAAGTATTTATATGTGTATTTTGACTCATAGTTGTTAATATCCAGTGCTGATTTAAAGCTACTTTGGGCGAGATATCTAAGACGTCCTCTTATTTACGATGCTTTGTGGGAGGGAGCGGCTTCAACAGGGTTACGTGAGACTGTAATACTCCGACTGTAGCACACCTTGTAATGTTTTTCGAGTATTATAAAATAAGAAAATGTTACTTATATCAGTTTATTTAGATTAAATTACAAATTTAAAAATCTTTGTTTCAAAATGCAGTCAATAGATGACGCTATTACATCCAATAGAGGCTTACCGTGGGTTTCTGAGACCAAAATCACCATTTAAAAATAACTTTATCTCTGTTTTGTCAAAGACGACGGCCTGGGATAATGATATTATACATATGTATTGGTCTCAGAAACCAATGGTGAGTCAGTCGTTTTTTTAAAGTTATTATTAGTGTATTGGACATTTGTTTTGCAAAGATACGTTTGCATGATTAGATTTTACTAGTAATCGATAACAGCCGTTGTCTAAATTGTACAAGAAAGACATTATTATTTGCTCAACTTAATAAGAATTGGTTATGCAAAGCATCGATTTGCAATACACTTGATTATGTTCGCTTTATAACATCGCATTTGCAAGCAAATAGGCCAACATGAAATTACGCACATAAATCATTGACTAATCACTATGATGATACCGGTTGATCGATGCGGTGGCAAGTGTTGATATCAAAAACTGATCGTTAATACCAAATAGCTAATCACATGTGTGCAACACTGCCACTTGATTAGACCTCTATCGTTCATTACGAAACGTTTCCGCGCAAACTTACGCACGATCGATGTTCCATTGTGTGCCAAACAAATGATGCTACCGGATGCCATTCGGGTCGCCCCTTTAAAGGACACTGGCTCTCTTATTTGCTTCTACTTAGGGCTAACCAATATCTTTGGTACTGGAATACAAAACGTGCTTTTAATCCTATAGAATTTTATTGCAATCCCTTTAATGCGCTTTGTGTCCAAAGATATCATTAACCTTTATTTTATGTTTGAGGTCGGGTTTCTCAATAATAGCTTATTTAAAGTATTTTATACGCAAGACTATCCACATAACATATTTGAACACAATACGAGTTTGTGCCTAATTTCGTAGAAAGTTTAAACGAAGAATAATAATATTGAAATTATATATAGAGTTATAAAAGTTTCATACTAAAAATTTACGAATTTTTTATTGGATTCTCGATCTGTCGAGTCTGAGGCTTCGTGTTGTTTTCTATATTGAATTCTCATATTAGTTACTGGTTGTGATCTTTTACAAATGGGAGCTGGACTCTTCTCTCGAACTGTGGTTCGTGTCAATAATAACTATTATTTCCTCTCGCATGTTTCCATCTTTTGCCGGCGATAAATTATCCTCATACTTCTGTGAATTGTCATAATGACCGTTTCAGCAAACTCGAAGCTTGTATTTAACTACTTTACACGTACGTCGTACAATTTAAACTTTTGTTTGCCTCGTTCACTTTAATAAGGCACTTGAACACGTAACAATATTTCCCGGCATAATGTATGGGATTGTTTCGTTTTTTTTCCTGCTGAGCGCAACAAAGCTATAGGTTTGCCGATTACGCACGATGTTCAAAAAGGAAAGAAATGGAAACTGTTGCGGTTGTTATTCAGCTCGGGAGATATGTATCGCGACATCCTCGAGACGCCTTTGTGCGTCGGACGGTGGGTTCGTTGTCGGCCATAATTCTCGTTGTTCAGGCGGCGCGGTGTCCGCGGCGTGGGTAGTTGAAAAATGACATCTTGATTGTTGTGCGTTATCCAGCTCATGAGAAAGTCGAGTTAGGTTGGTCGCGTGCGTGCGCATTGTGCGGTGAACGCATCGCAGTCGGTCGCTCGCGGCTAGTGGCTGCTGCCTCTACAAATTGAACGATTGTTAACCGTCCCCGTGGAGCGTTGCTATCGTGACTTGTCACGCCATTATTGTATCTACTTGGATATCATATTTTATGGAAAATAATATTTTTCATTTGAATTTATTGAATGTAAAAAAAATATGTGCTTTTATGTAGTCGATTATATGATGTATAGTTTAGTTAATATTAATTTAATAAAGATAAAACATTCAAATTTTGTAAAATGTGGTATGCATATAGATGCATAATTATTTTAAATTTTCTTTAAACCTCATGTAAAGGTGTCGACGCCATGTAAAACTTTTTATTAGCCATATTATACCGTTTTATACGTCCAGTTAGCCATAAAAGTATGTGATTAATGTATTGTAGAGAAGATGAATAAGGTACCACTATACATTCCGATAAAAATAACATCTGCCTATAACTCATCCGGTAATACTGAGGTATTCACATATCATGAATGCAGCTAAAAACTGCGTTAATCACGACGTATAAGTAATGTTGCTATTTACCGACAACAAATGGTGTTTGGAACAAGTCTCCGAGGTGGCGGTCGGTACCAAACGCTAGTTTTATAGCCTCGCCAGTAACAAGTTTTCGATAATGCTTTGGGCCGCTTAAAGTCTTAATGAATGCAATGTCCGATCATGTCGTCATTTGTTATTAATTCAATGAATTAATCAATAAATAGGCGTAGTGATTGAAAGTGTTTTCGTTTATTAGAACTCTTCAAAATGGTTGTTATCTGTGCTTCTTCGTACTTTGTACTACCAAAGTGACGAGTCAAATTTTACTTTTGCTCAAAAGAAGCCATAGTCTAAACATCTCTCACGGGAGTCTGTACAAGGGTGCGTGCTTGAATATCACAAGAAATTTTATGCGTATCCTTATTTGTACGAATTCACGAAAGCTTTGTTTGGAATATACCACTTTTTATGTATACTTGCTGTATTATAATGTAGTCACGATGGAATGTTGAATGTGTTTACGTTTTTATTAAGGGAATCATTCATGTCATGTAGGAACGTTACAATTAAATTGTATGTAGATTACACATTACGATCTTGAAACGAATATATATCAGACTGTTTATTAGATTGACAGCTTTAGCGGCTAGGACACCAATTGCGACTGCCTCGCCCGTGGAGGCGTCTGGGGCGTGGATGAATAGGCAATGAGTCGACGAATGGCTCTATTAAACCACCATTGTTCTGAGATCGCTTCAGTTGCGCAAGCGACGTGCATTGTTCGTGACGCTTTCATCATAAGCTTGTGACGTCACACGACCCGAATAGTGGTGTTAGATGTAGTGCGATTTGCATTTTGTTGAACCTTTAAACCTGTACTACGAAGCGCAGTGGCAAAAGGCCAAAAGCTCTTCGCCTGGCTAAACAATTGTTATCTTGATAAATGGCCTAGCTCGCATTAAGTCGATTTAATGCTGGGGTAATGTAGATTGGTGTTATAATATCAGCATATAATGTAGCAATGTATTTTAATTAGTCAAAAAATATTTGTTTTCTTGTATTAGCTGGCGACAACAAAACCAGATAGGTATTTGAGATAAATGCTTAAGTTCTATTGCACGACGTTGACAATTATTCTTTCCGTTTCTAATTTTATCCATCTTCGTTTATTGTCTTCATGAAGTCTTAATAAATAAATTTGCCAGACATGACATATTCACATTGTCAATATTAATCTTCATTCTTCTAAAAATAAAAATGCGAATGTTTGTATTGATGGGTAGATGGATGTTTGTTTGAAGGTTTCACCAGAATGACTGCAAGAATCTCGATGAAATTTAGCATAGATGTAGAACATAGTGAGAGAAGAACAAGGCTACTAATTAAGTTTTTTTTAACTTTGCGTGGACGTAGTCGCGCGTGACGGATACTAAAATATGATGATATGGTAGCTACATATGTAATGCACTACTGTGTACTTACGATGATTTAGACATGAAATGCAAAAATTTGAATATCATGGTGACATTGACATTAGCAATAAAGTTTATGTTGTATCTTGTTATGAATAGTTTAAAGTATTAGCAATATTGTATTAGCTCGGTGGACAACTATTAGTCCTTTATTCTCGTTTTGCGTTCCTAGTAAATACCAAAGTGTTGGAACGAGCCAACTATAGTGAATTACTTGACGTAATCTGACTTGCTTTATTGCCTCCATAGATCACGGTTACGACTTCGCAATGGTGTAGAATGAATGCCAGTGACCATACACTGCAGTTTGTAGGACCCATATAAATTTACTTTGCGTCTGTATTTCAGACTTTACCAGCGTGTTTTCTCTTTTTGTTTGAATTTAGTATAGAATTTATTTCACATAATATAGTAATAAACAGGATGACAAAGATGTGTATAGGAAACGATTTAGTGATTAGTTAAGTCGTATGTTCTAATTTTTAAGATAGTTTTATTTTACTATTGACTTGTTAGTACCCCGTAGAATGAAATTGAAATCCTTAATTTTATTTGTTTGATTAAAAATCTTTTGTCCTCCTCTATCTATGTAAAATACTTTAACTCTCTTCGTGACAATATTTTGTTAGAATTTAGTATTCCTCGTTCGTTCATCAGGCCTCCCGCTTTAACTTTCCGTTCATTGTCAAAGTTGTAATGCTCTTTGTGGACCCTAATTGAATTAACTGTTATGCTAATACTCTGATTTCCCATCTTATTCCGTTAAAGCGAACGTTTGTGGATTACTCAACTTTCCGTATACGGTTAGTTTGAGGGTACCCGCGCACGCGGCCAATTCAACGCTCACCTAAGCCGCTTCCCGAAATATGTAGTCGGCTCTCTTATTGTCAACAAAGTTCCTATTATAATTAAAGTAGTCTTAAGTCCCCCAAGTATGTCCCTCATATGTGTATTTGTTCGTTTGAATTATAGAATTTAATATGCAAGTTTCTTGTCATGTGGCGTTTAAAGGCTATGCACACAGAGCGCGATGTAATTTTCGCATCGTATGCTGTATCCTTCAAGTCCAACGTGAACAGTAACAACTAGGGGTTAAATATTTGAGTCAA